AGGAAAGCAGAGGACAAAAATAGATGGCGAGAGCTGGTTTTCAGATGCAGTGGTGCCCCCACGGTTGCCCCAACCACGGGGTAGAAGAAGAAGTCCGCTAAATCGGCTATCTGAGATAGTGGCGTGCTTTTTGGTGTGGTTTTTCTCCTCCTTTCCTATCAAGAATATGTTGTCCTGATAGTTCATCCTTCTATTCTTTTCTTTGTATGTTACTCTCTGCTAACACTTCTAATCTTCGGCACTTATGTGACCTATTTGTTTTGCAACCGAGTGTATTCTAACCGTCGGTCTGATACTTTTTGGGAGCTCTCGTGGCCTAGAGGTTAAGGTGTTGGCCTCTCATTCAAAGGTCCCGGGTTCGAATCCGGGTAGCGACCCCCCAAAAAAAATTCTTCTCTAAAATTGTCTCCTTTCACCTCCTGTCTTGCTCTCTAGCAATGTTCTGTTGTCTGCTTTCATTTCCACTTTCTGCCCCCACCCCTTCGCCTTCTTTGCCCCCTCCTCTGGGCTCCTGACTCTTTCTGCAGCCTTTCTACTGCTACTCCTTGGCTCTTCCTTACTGCTGTCTTTCTGCCACAACCCTGATCTTCTGGTAGGAAAGATCTACACGTAGCCTTCTCGGACAAGGGCGAAAAATTTCGGAGGGCCCGTGTGCAAGTTGCGCACGTTAAAGATCCCTTGGTTGTCTAAAATCGATAAGAGTAGGCTTCGGCCGCCACCCGGGCAAAATTCAAAATTTCCTACCAACTGAAAATATTAGGCGTGTCCCGCGCGCCCATATGACCTTATGCTGTTGCGAGCGCCGTAAAACACTTTACAAAAAAAAAAAAAAGAAGATAATTTTGACCTGCACGTTGCAACTGCATCCTAGAATTTATGTTGTCTAATACAGTAGAACCTGCTCAAGTGGCAGCCTGTCCAAAATAATCACCTGCACAAAGGACTACTTCCCACTCACCCCCTTCTTTTGTTTTTCTTTGTTTACATTGGCACTGTTGAAGACGTCCATGTGGGCGGTTGGCGGGTGCTCTGGTGTTGTTTGCTCCTTCTTTCCTACCAAGCATCTATCGTCCTTATCTCCCCTCCTTCTTTTTTATGTTTGTTACTCTCTTGTCTTCTGGCGCTCATATGACCTTATGCGGTTGCGAGCGCCGTAAAACCTCTACTAAAACTAAACTAAGAAGACCTCCACTTATCTAAGATACTTGCTTTTCTCATCGACATTGATTTGCCCTATTGGACAATTTCGACTGAATTTCTTTTGTGTTTTCCACAGACAACTTGGAACTGCGAAGGTAGCTCTCAGAGAGTTTGTCAGTGGGGGATCTCGGGAGTTGGAAGCGCCATTGATTGACTCCAATAAGCGACAACAACAAGTGAGTTGAACGTCTTTTGCTAGCATTTTGAAGCAGCCCTTGACACTCCTTTGTATATCAACATGTATGCTGTATTTTCAAAGCCGTTTCGATAAACCCGTGTCTGTTTAGAGAATACAAGTAGCCTTCTAAGAATATAGGATTTCGCCACGAGCCAGAAATGCATTGTGTGCGAAAAAAAGAGTACTCATAATATATAAACTTCTGATCAGACTCGTCACAAATTATCGTAGTGAACATAATTTAATAAGGGGCAGCAAGAGAGAGGCGTGCAACCGGCGTCTATAGTGTCGTGATTAGCCGCTTTGCTGTCGCACGCAGAAGACCTGACTTTGGTTTCCATGTGGGCAGGTTGCATTTCTCTCAGCACGAGGTGACCCTGACAAACAGGGTAGAAGCCCACTCCTTACTGATCTAAATACTATGATGTAGTGTCAATCAGGGCGTAACACAGCTAAATTGAAAAAAAATAATAGAGACACAGAGTATGGAAACTACATAGTGGTTACGTAGAAAACTAAATTAGTGTCACTGATATGAGATAAACCTGCGGATGAAATACATATTAAACAAGACAATCAGAAAATGGGTTACAATGGGACATAAAAGGCGTAATCAGCAGGTAAAATCCCCCCCTCCCCCCCTCCTTAAACTGGCCATTGAAATTTAAGGATTATGATCGAATGGTCAACACATCTAAGACGTTATTGTATTTTCACTGAGCTCAATTGTACATTGTACCGCCCACGTTTGGCAAGTGGTCCTTGCCTTATCAAAGATTGTGCCGTCAATTGGTCTTCCATATCAGAAGGGTTATCAGAAACGGCACATACTTACCATACGCGCCAGTGTGTAATCACTTTTTTAGATGTGTGGCCTCTCTTTGGTATTGCCAATTACTAATGTGTTCAAGCATTTCTTATTTGCTGCGCGTCTGTTGACCTATGGCGTGTTTGTGTGCGTGTGTATGCTTAGTTCGTTCACACCCAAATTTTACTCGTTAAAATGAGTTCTTCTGAACCTGATGAGGTTCAACCTGATGAGGATCAACTTGGTGAGGTTGAACCTGATGAGGTACGTATATTTAGAATTCCTTCAATGCCGATGCTTTTAATTCTTTGTTTTTATGTGTACATTGTATGGACATTTCTCATATTCTCCCTTGTCCCAATATTTTTTGCCACCTCACTATTTTAAAAAAAAGGTATATCTACCCCCCCTCCCCCCACCTCCAAACCACATAGTATAGATCATTTAGGAAGCGGGCTTCAACCCTGCCTATCAGGGTCAACCCGGGCTGAGAGGGTTATACCATGTCAGCAGAAAGACCGGGATACTCGATAAAAATTCATCGAACTCGGGTCTCCTGCATAACCGCGAGACCACAGACGCCGGCCACCCCACAGTGCCCTTTTCTTTTCATTAAAGTTTTGACTGAAAAAAAAATAGTGTCGAGAACTGTCTGCTTCAAACGCAAAAAAAAAACACCTGTGACGAAAAGAACAATAATTAACAACGGCAAACTTCCTCCAAAAATTAATACTGCAGAGCTAAAACAGCTCTTTTCTGAAAACATAAAGGGTGTTGAATTTCAGAACACCTGCCTCTAGCTTTGAATAATAAGATTGTTTGCAAGACGTAGCCCTTGCTTGGTGGGCCGGAGACGTTGCTTCATGTGCTAAAGTTTGTTAGAGCTAGAATCACTGTGGCTCTTTAATTTTAGTAAGAATTTTACGGCACTTGCAACAGACATATATATGCCATACACGTTTCCAAGATCAGACTTGCTACAAAAGGGTAGAATTTGAAAAAAAAACCCAAGGTGGAGAGGGAAGTACGTTAGATGTTTGATAGGAAAGAAGGAGAAATTCTCACCAGAGCACCCGCCAACCGCCCACGATGTGACCCTAATGCCTTCATCTCTTTAACAAGGTTAAGTAAGAATTTTACGGCACTTGCAACACAAAACAAGAAGGTTGTTGGAGGGTGCCACTGGCATGTCCTACTTTACTTTCCCTCTAGTATTATTTTCTGTCTGTTTTACTTTTCCCCAGTACTTAATGACCATTATTGTGTCGATGTGCTTTTCTTTACTCAAGAGAGTTTTTGGAGAGTGCCACTGGTAGGCCCTACTTCTTTGATTTCCCTCTGTTATTCCTGTCTGTCTGTCTTTTCCATGCACTAAATGACGGTTATTGTGTCGATGTGCTCCTCTTTACACAAATGAACTCAAACTATACAACAAGGTCATAATAATATGAGTGCCGAGCCTGTGAATCTGATGCATCCTCGTTCCTGATGTCTTCCCCAGGCGTCCGCTGTCAGGTTGAAGATCACGTGCACACAGCCGGCCGGAGCCGCGGGAGCTGGAGGGAATCAAAATGGCGCAGGTGAGTTCAAAGAAGTCTTTTGTCTTTACCACATCGTCGTCGTCGTAACAAAGTAAATGGTAACATGATTTGTCATCGTCTATATTATGTTCTTTCTACTTCTCCTCCTCACCATCATCATCATCTTTATCACCATAATTGTTAAAACGCAGAGTTAGAAGGGAGAGTCTTGACATCATCATAATCGACGACATCATCATCATCATCATCATCATCATCATTATCATCATCATCATCATCATCATCATCATCATCAAACACTATCCTCTTTATGTCATGAGTTTCTTTTAGACTTCCAAGGTTTGTTCATACAATTGTCTATATAGATACGACTTTAAGATCATCAGCCTCTCTCTAACGACAATTTTTTTCCGTCCTTCCAGGCACAGTCATCGAAGTGGACGGTGAGGACGAGGAGGAGGACGAGGACGAGGTGGACGGCGGTGTGGGCAGCGCGGGCGGTGACCAAGGGGACGGAGCCTCGGGCACCAAGAGCAAGAAAAAGAAGAAAAGAAAGGCCAGGAAACAGCGGCCGGAGCTCTCCACCAAGGCCCAGGACCAGCAGGTCAGTTTAGATGGGCTATGCTATGAGATTTATGCCTATTTTGACTCACAACTTAGGCTCCGGCGTCTGTGGTGTAGCTGTTAGGTGCTTCGCTGACCGCATGCAGATGACAGGAGTTCAATTCCCGAGTGGAGGGAAACATTTTTTATCGAGTATATCAGTCTTTCTGGTTGGATGCTATATCCCTCTCAGTCCGGGTTGGCCCTGACAGGCAGGGTCGTAAGCCCACCTCCTAAATGATCTAAATTGCGGGGGCTTGAAAGCACATATATTAAAAAAACCAAAACAAAAACGTTTTAACACAACTTAAGCTATTGAAGGAAAATACATCCTAGGAATGGGTGGGTTTTTTTTCCTGGAAAAGGGGGGGGGGGGTGCCACGTGTTCCTGGAAAAGGGGGGGGGGGTGCCACGTGTGGATCTTACTTTACTCCTTTACGTTCCTGTGTTATTTTCGTCTGTATCTCACGTTCTTTTTCAACACTTATTGACTGTGGTTGTGTGAATGTGCTTCTCCTTGCTAAAACCAAACGTAGGAAACAAAACCTTTTAAGATATGAGCATTCAAGAAAAAGAATTCGTGCACAAACGATTAAGTATGAGTAACAGAAATATCACAGTTTCTCCGCGTACGGGTGTCTTCATCAACATAAATATCGTCAATGAGCGCCTTCTCGTTAGAGTTGCTTTGGTGAACTCTGTATTCTAGTGGTTCGGCTACAGGGCTCGTAGTCGTGAGGATGCAGGTTCAGGGGTTTGAGCCCGACGTTGTGTCCTTGAGAAAGGCACTTTACACGAATTTTTCTTACTTCACCCAGGTGTGATCGAATTACCTAATGTATTTATGTCACGTTTGGGTCCAGGTTTCCAGGTTTCAGTTTCGTGGTGAAATACCCATGAGATCCAACTTTGTTTTCTGTCTATGCATTTATTCCTGGGAGGTAAAAGCTATCTAGTTGTACCGGAAAACATAAAGTGGAAGTGCTGTTTGATCGATCAGATTTCTAGCTGGCCCATGTGATGAGGAATGAGTTCAAGTCTCGTATTGTTTCGGAAAAAAGCACATTGGTCCCGAAGCTGCGTTTATTCCTTGACGTGGAAGTTGAAGGCCTTCATCACCACTGTCTTTCTCACCCTGCATCAGGGTATAGGCCACAACCAAACACGTTCCACCTTTCCCTATCCTGGGCAATATATTATTGCAATATATGGCAATATAATATTTCTTGCTATTATTTCCTGTTTTCGCACTTTTCTGTACATCATTCTGTGTGACTCTTCTCCGGTTCCATGCAGCTTACTCTTTGGTCTCTTTCCCTGTGGATTTTAATCCAACACTTTCCTTGATGTGCAGCTGTCTGTCTTCCTGAGGTCTAACCCATCGCATAATTGAAGGCCCTAGTGGTTGAATAACGCCCATAAACTCCCATGCTCCAACGCACCCATGTATTTACTTGTTCGCAAAGGGTGCGGTTTTGTGAAGAGGGCGCCGCTAGATTTTGAGGATGCTTTTTTATTGACTCAGACTCAAAGAGAGGAGTGAACTATCATATTATGTACTATCATTGATTAGCACTCTTTACTTTCCCACAGATCATAGTGTCTTCATAGGATCTTGTATGTTGTAGAGTGTGAAATCACTGCAAAGAAAAGAAAAAATCTTAAAATCATCCTCTTACATCCAGTTTATATGACTGTGAGTCTGTTTTCCAGGTGTATGTGTGTGTGTGTGGGGGGGGGGGGGGTGTTGGTAAAGGTCGCCCCTGGAACTTTGTCGGCGTATAAGTATCGTGTTTACAAAGACTTTTATTTCATTTTTCCTTTTTGTGAGGGATTTCTGATCTTGACAGTGTCTCTTGGTGCAAAGCAGATGTGACTCCCAGTTGAAGGTGGCACACCGTTTGCTCATTTGTTATTGTGTCTGACTGCTGTTTATTTGATTCATGTTCGGATTCCATTAAGGACATTCTTGTTTGTTGGTAGTTGGCGGGTGCTCTGGTCTGGATTGCTTCTTCTTTCCTATCAAAACATCTGTCCTTATCTCTTCTTTTCGTTTTTTTGTTTTTGTTTGTTACAATCTTGTAACTTCTCTCATCTTCGGCACTTATATGACCTATTTGTATTGCACATGCCTTAAACTCTCACTAAAACATTTGTGTATTTCTATTTTTTTTGGAGG